AAAAACCCACTTAATCAAAAGGACAGTTTCACATTGTCCCGGATGTAGAATGCGGCAGGAAATTTTCTGCTTTGCTGGCTTCTCATGGAGGGGGAGGTCAGGGTTCTTACTTTCCGTTTTAATCGCGACCACGGTGACGCTGGAGGCCGGGGCGTAAAGAAAGCCGGGTGCATGCAGGAAAATGAGCCCCCTCTGCCCGCCCGCGCGTGAACTTCTCGGCTCTCATCCCGTCCACGCCTCTAGGCATTGCTCTCTCTGGCCAGCTTCAAACTGAAAGTGGGGAACGAATGTCCGGTGAGGCGGTGGGGCCACCAGCAATTGATTTCTTGAGGTGACAATAATGCCCTTGTTCTCCCTCAATTAAATGGGGAGAGACTCCTGCGCACCTCCCACAGCATCCCCGTAGCCAACCTCTGGGGCGCAGGGTAGACGGCAACCGCCGCGCGCGGCCTGGGGCTGGGTGGGGGTGTTGAATGAACACGTCTGATGGGCCTGGAGACAGGGCTGGGCACAAGGAGAGTTAAGGACGGTCCTGTCCCCACACCATTTTGGCAGTGGGCAGCCTGAGGATCGTTAAGGGCCAAGGCATTCTTAAGTAAACGGGGCATAGACCAGCCCTCAGGCCCTGTGCAGACGGCAGGTGCTACTGCTGGCTTCACGTTCTCGAACTTTCGAAACCATCAGGGGCTCAAGCCTGGGCGCGAGCGCTCCCACTCGCGCAGGTGCCTCAGACCCCGTCCAAACACTAGGCCGTGCCCGCCGCCATCCTTTCGGGGTGGACTGGGGAGTGTCGCTCCAGCTTTGCTGCATCCGAGGGGCCCACGGAGCGCCCACTTCTGCCCCGAGCTTCGCAGGGGGAAGTGGAAAAGCGCATCCTCAGGGCGCTCCCCAGGACAGACCCCGGCCCGCTTCGCCAGGAGGCCCCGGGCAAGGCCTCTCCCTCCTCGAGGGTGCGCTGGGGATGGGGCTCCCGGGCCCGTCCCGACTCACCCCGCCGGGCAGCAGGGCCCGGGGTGCCCTTGGGGCGCCGGTGCTGTCCCTACAGCACTTTGTCGAAGGCTCGCCGTGGGCGGCCTGCAAACCCTGTCCGCCTTCTGAGCGAAGGGGGAAAAAAAATAGCATGTCCTCCCCAAAGGAAAATTCGAGCAGCGCGGGGCCGAGAACATTCTAAAGATGTTTCCCCTGCGCCTTCAGCATTCAAAACAAAACAGGAAGGCCAAGGAAATCTTTTTAGCTACTCTGAGCAACACCGAAGGGGCAAGGAAAGTTTCTTTTCACCGCTGCTCGCTCTCGGGGCCTTGGTTCACTTCTTCCCCAGGACCAGCCGCTCTGCCAGGACACCCTTCTCCCCCCCGCCTCCCCTCTCGCCCCGCGGCCCGGGAACTAAGTCCCGCTGCGGGGGAAGCGCGCGGCGGCGCGGGATTCCGGGAAGGACACCCCAGCTCAACGCTGGGGGCCCGGGGATAGCGGGAAACGGCGGGCGCCACCCACGCCCCAGGGACCCTGGCGGCGAACTCCACGCACGGAAGGCCGACCAGAGGCGGGAGAGTAACGGTGGGAGGCGCGGGGCAGCGGCCTCGTAAGGCGCCCCATACCCGGGCCTAGGCCCGGACGTTCTGCTCTCACCGCCTGCTCCTGAGCCTCCTGGGCGGGGCGACTTCCGGGGCGCTTGGGGCTCCGCCCACCCAGCCAGCGCCCCGCCCGCTGCGCTCTTCGCCCCGCCCATCCGCTCCGGGTGCTCGCGGCCGGCTGGGCCGCCTCTCCGAACCCGTGGAAAGTAAGCGGAGTGTTTTGCCGTAGAGAAGGGAGGGAAGTGGGCGAAGTAGCGGCTGAGCGAGATCGCTCGCGTTTCTGTGAAGGGGCGGCCGGCGTGGGGCTGAGCGGGCAGCCGCAGGGCTCAGGCCGCGTCCGCGTGGGTGCGCGCAGAGCGGGAAGGAGGGCGAGGGCCCCGCGCGGAGGCCCGGGCAAACTTCCTGTACAGGCAGCCGGCAGGCAGGGCCGAGAAAAATCCCTCTTTCCACCCGCAGCCTTCAGGCATTTTTTGAGTCGCGTGGCCCTTTCCACAAAGCTCTTTTAATACAGCTTGATGCAGAACGTCAAAATGCGGGGCCGTGTGCGTGTACGTGTGAGACCGGTCCGGCTCCGAAGTTCCCGGGAAGCGGAGAGGGGCTCGGTTTTTGGGTGGGCGCACCAAGTTCCACGAGGTGCGAGGGAGACAGTGATGACAACTCGGCGGGTCTGGCTCACGCCCCTGCCCGGAACCGCGGTTTCGTGCTTGGGTTTCGGAGGGAGCCCCCGCTATGACTGTGGCAGTGGCTGTGACAGCGAGGAAGCGTTGTCATCAGGGTCGCCCCGGGCCTGTAAGGCAGCTTTCTCTGGTGCCCTAGTCCTGCAGCTCATTAGGATGAGTGCAGGGGGCACCGGAGTGGGGCGCCACAGGTAGTGGGGGGACGGTCGCCTCGCCCGAAGCCCCTGCAGGAGCCCGAGGTGGCCTTGGGGAAAAGCACGCGTTTCGTTTGTCCACTGCCCCACGTCGCGTGGCGGCAGCTCACCCAGCTCCCGGGAGGGGAAGGCTCGGTGAGCCCGCCTCGGTTTCCCCGAGATGGAGCAGCAGAAACTCCTGGAAAGGTTCAGGTCTGTCCCGAGCCAACGCCATACGCACAGGGGATGCCCGACATGCCCACACTTGCACACGCGTGTTGGGCACACTCGTACACCGCACACTCCATGGATATCGCCTGCACGAGGAAGCGGCCTTGCTGTTACAGGCCTCTGTACAAAAGGGGAAAGCTTTAGAAAAGTGATTTAAATACGTGTATTCAGATAGGGTTAAAGCCCAGCCACAAAGCCTTCCTTCTTTGCTCTACCTCCGGTTCAGAATTTGCCAAGTTCCTAACGCGGAGCACCTGCTGGGCCAGCCTGACTCCCTCCCTAGCAGTCAGAAATAAACACCACCAGGGGAGTAGTGGACCTGGGGCCCGGCCTTCCCGCCAGGACTGGCCCTCCTGGGGGCAGGGTAGCGCAGGGTTCAGAACCAGATTCAGCACTGGGCGCTGCAGGCCAGAGGAGTCTCTCTAAAGACAGGAGCTGCCCACCCGACCTGATCCTGAGGCTTGGAAACCGGAGCCCGGCCCAGGGTAGAGTGGGGTGGGCACCCGGGGCCTAGAATAAGCTAGGCCACGGCTTTGACAGCGTGCTGGCCATGTTTCCCCAGGCTCCCCTGGCTTTTCAGAAACGCAGGGGCACTTAAGGGGCAGCCCCCACCAACCCCACCGAGGGGGTGTGTACAGCTTCTCCAACAAAACCACCCTGCAAAATTCTTGTGCTGGGGTCCTCTCTAGAACAGCTGAACTGGAAGAGTCCTGGATCCACAAAGCCAGGATTATTTTTTAAAAATGTAGGGGGCCCGGGCTGTGGGCAGCAAGGGCACGATGTATCTTCAACTTGGGAAAAGCCACCATGAAGGCCTTGGGAGGCGGCGACCGCACCACCAGGTCCCTTCCTGGCGTGCCCCGCAGCCTCCTGGTGACGCCTTCACAATAGCTACAGCCACCCTGAAGGGCACACGGCCCACAGTAGCAGCGGCCTGACAAGTGTGATAAAATGATCTTCCTTAACTAAACTCGTAAAGCACTGGGCAATAAAACTCAATCTTCTGTAAAATCCAATTAAGTCATTATCTGACTGATTGTATCTTTAATTGAAAACAGAAGTGACAGTAAATTTCTGTGATATATCAGGATCAATCGATACCACTATACGATTCAGCCCCAAGAAGTGATTTATAATGTCAAACCTATATAGGTAACTCCACATTATTCTCTCTAAAACCACTGGTGGATGAAATTAAGAGTAAGTGCATTTAATAAAAAACAAGATGGTCAGGTTATTGATTACAACAGACGGGGGTGAAATCAAATAGATGTTTTCAAAGCACAGAGCGAAGAAAATACAAGTAATTTCTTTTTTCCTGTTTAATACCGCTCACCAAATATACACACAAGGAAATTCAGTCATCAATAACATTTTTATTTCAGGTACAGCTGCAACTACACAGAACAATGAATTTTTTTCCGACTAGTTTCATTTCAGGATGGCTTCTGTTACATTAGGAAGTACTCCACAAGCAATCTTTAACAAAATAATGAACTCAGAAATCCGTAGTAACTTTTAAAGATGTACTTATTTTCAAATCAGATTACAACCTAAGGTTACAAAATAGTCTAGATTGCATCCATTTTTTTCCCCCTGTAGTAGAAAGAATGTGTAGGATAAACTCTCCTATTATTCTAGAAACAAACCCAGGAATTCTGTATTGCTGAGTTTACTTTAAAATGCTTTGTTTTGAAATTACACCCTTTACAGAAAATGCAGTGGTTCTTTAGGGCTTTAATGTCTTTTTCCAACTGTATTTCAATCATGTTTTTGAGTTGGGAGAATGGAGGAGGGCTTGGCTTTTCCAACAGCAACACAGACACACAGTACTTCCAATTACTCTGACCTTCTACAGATTTCTAGAACAATCACTAAGTTTGCGCTCTTCTTCTCACTGGTCAGGCACTTGGCTAAATTTATATTTTTGCGGTTTTATTAAAATACTAAAATAGAAACGTCTAAGGCACCTAAGATTTCATTTTAAAACCAGAAGTAGTATCGAATTATGACACATTTAGATGCAAACGTACTCCCTGACTTTAGTGAATTATTGTATTTTTTGAAAACTACATGTAAACCAGAATCATAAAAAATGGGGGGGGGGGATACTACTATTTAACTCCATGAGCAAAGCACTTAGTTCTTGCAGATGGTACTCAAGGATCCTAAACTATTCCAAATGTATTTTAGCCTCTGGGCTAAGCTCTAAGGAGTATAAACCAAACACGCTCTCAACAGTTAAGTCGACATGAGTCAAGGCAAAATACTAACAACAAACCCCGTGTCTAAATGGAATCAGCCTGCTATTCCAAGTGAAGGAAACAGCCAAAGGCACGAGGCATCATTTACTCGTCCTCTTCGATGACGGGAGTGACGGTGAAGCTGCTGGGCTCGGAGGCAGACTCACATTCGAGCACTCCCTTTGTGCTCTCGCTACTAATAGGAGAGCTGCTGGAGAGGGAAACCAAGCCAGAATCTTGACTGCTGGGCGGCGAGAATACTGGGACGTGGGGAGAGACAGGGAGGGAGAAGAGTGTTAAAAGTGGCTAGTCTTTCCGCATTCAGTATTCAATTAGGTTCCAACAAAGATAGAGGCACTGTGCATTTCTATTCTGAGTTGAAAGTGTTGTTCTAGGCACTCATTAAAAACCCCAGTGTTTCTTTAGGAAAACACACACACACACACACACACACACACACACACACAGTATTTCTGCACAATATCTATTCAGTTATCTGAGTTGAAGGGGAAAGTTAGGTAGCAGAGTTCTGAATTTACGTACATAAAGAGGAAAATAAAAAATAAAAAGAAAGTCTTTTCCCCCTTCCCCCTCTGCGGAAACTATTTCCTCCCTTCACTGAACCCCTCCCCTTTATGTAAGGGATGCTAATAGAACTTGTCTTGTCAAATGATCCGTCTGACAAACTACCCCAAGCAAGGCTCCATGCATGTGTTTCTACCGTTTGACAGGTAACCCTAAGTTTTCCAACATGTAGCCAGCGAAGGTGATAGATTAATATACCTGGTATTTCTCTTGGACTTACAGGGCCAAACACTTGCTATTTACATAACTTTTGAAAACTAAAGAAAGTTAAAGGAATACCTTCACTAAAATAGGAGTCAGGTAGAGATATTAAAAGCAAATCCGTGAACGTAAAACTCTACTAGGACCTGACATTAAATATGAAGGATGATAATGTGCTGAGCAATTTCTGCAACCTTACAAGCCACAGTAGATACAAAATTTAAGCAAAAGGGTCTCTGACCTTCTTAACCTTAGCCGAGTTCAGACCCACCCCCAGAACTCCCTTCCTGCCTAGAGTGAATGTAATTAAGGCGAAGCTGCAGTGGTAATTTCTCTCCTCATTAACTTCCTGATTGGTTTCAGCCTCAGGATTCTGCTGGGCAGTAGTTTGTCACCAATTCCAAATGGCCAATCGTTAATACTAATGTTTGTGTAACTAACTGCCAGCATCTGCCACGGCTTCTTGTACAACAATAATGGTGAAAGGGTACATTAGTGCTCCTGTGTTAATTCAGTCTGTGTTCATCAATAGGGAAATCTATGATGTAATTAGCAAAATGCACTGGGAGCTGAGTGCTGGAGTCATTTGTAGAGAACTAAATCATAGTAGAAGCTGTACCGGGTCCTGATGTGTTTGCCATCAATACTTATTATGTTTGGGATTTAATAAGGTATATTACCATGCTGAAAAGAGACCTTTTTACAAGAGAACACTATTTACGCTTGTTATGGGTTTGGAAAAGGTTTGCTGCAGCTAGTGGAACCACACAGAACTAAAAGAACAGAGCTGGGATTTAAGAGGCAGACCTTGAACCACACCACTAGACCAACTCGTTTCAGAAAGCCGCTTTCTTCTCATGTGACATACAGATGGACAGACAGAAGGACGGAGAGCTTTATATGACTACCTCAAATACCTCCAATAAGGAAAGGCACAGATCTGAGAACTTAGTGAGTAAATCTGAGAAACAATTAAGGCAATTTCCTGACCAGCAACTATCTTTGATATTGATAGTATTTGTTTAGTCACTTAAATAAAAAGCAAGAGTAAAAGTGTGTAAGCTCCTTTTTTTTTAAATTTTTAAAGTAGAACGTTGTTAAATGTACTTTACAGACACCAAAAAGCATACACATGCTTATGTAAATACATATGGCAACCAAAAAACCCTGTGAACCTGTGAAATCTGAAGCCTTCATCTTATTGCAGTTCATAAAGGCTAAATTCAAATTGTTCTATGGATGCAAAGTTCCCTGCAAATCCAAGATGATTTATGAATGGCGCTGTGTGCCCACAAGGCTATATATATACACACAAAGAAAGGTTTTCCAAAAGCAGCAGACTTTGCTCTGACATCTTGGTCCCCTACACAGATCTGGACAGCTAAGAGCCAACTGCAGAGTCCATGAGCTGATCAGCCCACTGCCCCATCCCACCTCAAACCAGTGACAGAAGGTCCTCTGTCAGGAGCAACGGGGACAGGAGGGAGCCTTTACTGCCTACTTCCTGCGTGCCACAAATCTTAACGAAGTATGTAATGCTCCAACCATTCACTGGAAGAATTATTCTCAAGGGGTGACACAGGGGACCCCCTGGAAGCTGAAGGGCAGTGTGGCACCAGCCAGCCTGACCCACAGTCTCACTCTTCCTGCACCGTCCCCCACCCTTGGGCACCACATTTAGTGACCGGCCACGGAAATGTCCTAGTCTCTGAGTTTAAGGAGGCAAAATACCTGACCCTTGTCACACTCAGGCAGCAGCGAGGAAGGGGTGAGTGCTCCCCTGACATGTCCTGGGCCCCCAGTCTGCCTCTTGTCTTCGGTCAGCAGCCGACCTAGGAGACGCCCCCTCCCCATTATACCCCAGCCCTACACCATCCACTCACAGTTAACCTATCTGTGACCGAAAAGGGGAAGGGCAGGAATTCTGCAAAAGGAAGAAATCAGGGGATAGCCCCCTTTGCCCTCAGTTGCCTTGTGGGTGTTTTCTTGGGAAGTATTCCTGAGCCTCTGGCTCCAGAGACACAACAGGGTGTCACCTGCACAGACAGGGGCAGGGCTGCAGCCGCCTTCACGCGTGACTGCACTCCAGAGAAGATGCAAATAAATGAACGCAACCTGTTTTGAAAAATGCCAGTATTTTCCACTGTCTGTCTCTGTTGTCTATGTTGTTCTTACTTATGTCGAGGCTTAGCAGCGTCTTTGAAAAGGAGGCTGCTGAAGTTCGGGACAGGATTTGCTGAACTTAGTTAGTGTGGCCCCTCCCAATAGTAGTTACAGTAAAGATGTCCTCAGCATTCTCTTGGGAGAAAAATGTCCAAACCGTATTTTACTACCACCCTCAAAAGGACCCTCTCCATTTTAATGCAGCTTCATTAAATGTTGTTGGGGGAAGAGTAATCATTGACAACTATAAATTATTTTATACCAATTAAAAATTCAAAAGTCAGAATTATCTTTTCTGCCTTTCAATTTGATTCTAATGAGCCTGACACAAGGCTAATTTCAACTCAAAATGTTCCCCTTAATTATTTTGTGGAAATGCTAATGCCTTGTGTCAGTGGGACTGTAAGAAAAGATACACTGTTGGTAGCACTAGAAATCGGTTCAGTCTTCTGGACAGCAATCTAGGGACATGTAATAAGAACCGTAAAACTGTTCATACCCTCTGAACTGGTAATTCCACTCTGGGGAATAAGCCCAAAGAAAGAAAGAATAATTGGTCCAGAGATGCTCAACACACAACTATTTGCATCACTGAAGATGTTAGTGCTTTGCTTGGGTGCTGGGGGTGGGGGTGGGGATGGGGGGCAGCTGGGCTTGGGGTAGGGGCTGAGAGGGGAAGCAGCGAACATTCACAGGCAATAAATTCAGGATTCTGCTACCCTTCCACAGATCACGGACAGGCTCCCAGCATTTCCCAGCATTTCCCGAAATGGAAAAAATGACTTCTGGACACCAAAGTAGAGACTAAAAAGTAAGAAACAGAAAAACTTGCTCATTTGATTTCTTGTATGTGTTTCAATGAAAAGTGGGCAAACCTCTTCCAGGCTGACCCTCGATTGAACCAGCAAGCCCAGTATCTGTTTTCTCTCAAGTAGCCTGTTTGTCTAAAAAGCTAAAGGGGCTTTCTTTTACAATTATTTAAAAACAAACAAAAAAATCTTATACGTAAACACTCTAACCAGTGCTGGGAAAAAAAAAAATTAAAGATGATTCCAGCGATACTATCTATCTTACTGCACTCCTGTCAAAAAAAAACCCACCTCATGAAAAAAACAAAACAAAAACCACTCTAACTGCTAAATCTTTCAACATTGCAAAGACCCCTGACTTTTAACTTGAATGATCTGTTGGAAGTCAGTGGGCTGGAACGAATAATTCTCCTCCAGTGATGTGAGAAAACAGGATATTCATGCTTGAGAAAAATTTTCATCCTCTCTCTGTTAAATGCTGTTAAACGCCCACTAAGAAACCATTTAAAAATAAGAATATGAGTGGCACTCCTCAATTGTTAGCAGCTCCACGCCTCCATGTGGACAGGAAGAAAACAAAAGTGCTGGCCTCTGGTCTCCTGAGTTTGCAGGCCTCAGAGTCTGATGAAAAGCTAATGAAAATTTCTCAAACAACAAATTCTTCCGCTCGTGATAACTGCCGTGTTTGGAAATAAAATCACGTCCAATCAACACCACTTAGCAGATATGTAATGTTTCACAATGGGACTCTTTTCCACAGCGGCACTGCTGCCCTTCTCACTTGCGTCTAAAATAATTAGGATTATCGGAGCCGTCCAAAGCTTGGCAGGTTCAGTCTGTACTTTCAAACAGCATTAATTCTTGGCACTTGGAACAAGGGATAAAAGGTAAAGATATGAATGGAGATCTTTATTCAACCCGATCTATCACGGATTAGCTCATTCTTTTCCAGTTCATGCCTGCACTCTAGTTAAGGGCAGGGCTAAGCTGTAACTGATGTAATTAGAAACCACAAGCTGAGAAAAATGGCCCTTTATTAATCCCCCCCCTTTACTATATATTTGCTAAAAAATATATATATAATCTTTGAAACAATTAAATGTGTTGTTTTTTACCACCTACGTGTACTGAAAGGGCAGTGGCAAAGTGACAAAGAGGGGGCTGTTAGGATTATGTGCTTGGAAACCCATCTTCGGGGCAGTGGTAAAATCCAGCCCCCATTTTGAGAGAGGCCAGCTCTGCGCTCTGTGTGCTGTGAAGAGAAGCGGCCCAGGCCCTGTACAGGGGTCGCTGAGGCAGGAAGCAGGCCCACAGCAGTCCTTCTCCCCCCACAACGGCAACACCAGTGCCAGCACCGGACGGCCACTGCTAAAAACTAAGTGACCTCGCAAGAGAAAGAGCGTATTTATGCACTAGTAACAGTACCTCTGTCCCTCTAAACGTCGTGTATGACTCGGATCCACAAATCCCATGGTTAACACCAGGACAACTCTTTGGTTCTC